CCCCCCCCCCCCCGCTATGTCTTTCCTTTTGGCAATACAGAGGCTGAATGTAAAATTCAAAACAATCTTTTTCACCTATTAAAGTATTTATTAGTGTATGAGATTAGGAGATTGCAATCTCTTACCACAGTGAAGGAAATAAACCGCCATCCTAATCAAGCGTGGAAAATCTTTCCCCACAACTGCCTACCAATTTATGAGAACAGGCTAGTCTGCAATTTCAAGGTAAAATAATTAAAATTTCCCACAAAGACTAATATATGCTTCAATGAGCTTTTGCTGCTGCTGCCATTGAAACAAACAAAAAAGGAAGCGGAGAAAAATCAGACAAGTGTTTCTTTATAAAAGAATTTTATTGTTGCAGCTAAAATGAGAACTGAAAATTTGTATGGGAAGTTGAAAAACTGTACAGTTTTACTGAAACTGTAAGGTTGTTGCAACACCTTACGTAAGAGACAATATACCTGAAAACGTATTATACCAAAACATTTAGCTTGTTTTTATCTTATTTTATTTCTTTTCTTAAAAAAGTTTTCTATGGCAATTGGTAAAAAAGAAAGACCTGATGAGTAAATATTTGCTTAAGGCATATAGCAGAGCAGCTCACTAACTTTCTAACAAGTTTAAACATGGATATTTCTTTTCCTTCCCCCTCCCCAACCCCGCCCAAGAATAGGTTAACCAATACATCCACTTTGAAATGCTACTGTATATATACACACCCCAAACTACTACGTTACATGTACAAGGACATCAAAACAAAATGCTTACAGTTCAGCATGACAAGCCGTATCCACACCTCGCTGAGCTTTATCGGGGCTTCCTACTGTATTTCTTATAGCACTTTCTATTCCACCCTTCTTATGCTGGTCTATGACCATAAAAAAGATTTTTGATTGGATACAGCACTTCTTTTGTTCAAAATGATCAAGGCAAATAAGTGATGCTGGCAGACTTGAGAGGAACATGGTAATCAGAAGAGATTTCTTGGCTGTCTTGGGACAACAAAAGAAGAAATTTAGTTCTTCCTGACAGATTAAATATAGTACAATCACGTTGCTGTGGAGATACATTCTGAAGTTGACCATGTCGTTGTGGAAGAGATAATACAATTCTTTCATCAAAAAGTTATTTTTTTTAACCAAAGTCCTTTCATTTTTAAAAAAATAAAAAAAAAGGTTTTCAGTTCTAGCTTCATTCTGGTTATCTTTCTAAATAACTGTTTCCTTCATACTATCAGAAGACAATTTAAAGTATCTTGGCATGGGGGCGTCTCTGGGAAATAAAAATAGTTAAGATGGTCCCTGCGCCCGTACAGTTGAACCTACCCCCTTTTTTTTTACATATGTCACAAACATCAAAAGGGGGTGGGCTTTCAATCGAGTGGTTGTGGCTGTCATCTTGACATTTTTGACCCCTCTTGCTGAATGCCCGTCTTGGCACTTCACGTTTCAGCAATTTGCCATAAAAAACCTGTGTTTGTGTGTGTGAGAGAGAGGTGTGAATATGGCTTTGTACACACTCTGGAATGTTTGTACTATAGTTACTTGATTGAAATGAGTGCTATACAACTGGTTTAGATGGTGTACATAGAAAAACTGCCAAATAATAGGCAAGATACAGGCAACCGGGCTTTTTTTTTCTTTTTAAAGAGAACACACACACCTACCAATCTTGGAGCTGAATGAAAACACTTCAGCGACACCCTTGGAATCACAGCCATTTAAATAATCAAATCATGCAAGTATAATTGGGCACATCAGAAAGCAGAAATATAAAAATTATGTTCACCTTTTAAGCACATGGATTTCAATCAGGACATTTTTAGGAGACTTTTATACATGCAGTTGAATAAAAATGTGATACAAATGTGTCTGAATAATATTCTAGTGGATGACAGAACGTGAAAGGGACAAAGCAATCACATACTGAGTAGCAAAATACATAGATGAGCCATTATATATTATGCCATTTTCTATAATCATGTCAATATTTTCATGTTTCCAATATTATTACTAAGTATTGACTGCTTAATAAAATTCCTCTTTCTCATAGGTAAGGCTGTGAGTTACCCAGGACTACCTATGAATGTATTATTGTCATTTTGAAAAAAACCTTGATACTAGCCTCATTTTACCTTTTCTTCCTTCCCCTTCTCCAAGACCTTTCTTTAACATCTCATTTGTTTAAAGAAGAAAAAGCCAACTTTGGTCAGAATTGAGGAGCAAAATAAATATGGAGTGAGAACCCTGATATATCACAGATTTTTTAAAAGAGATGATGATACTTAAGTGCTATATAGGTAGAATATAGAATTTCCAAATAACTTGCACTGTAAATAGGGTGCCATTTTGTTAATGAAACAGCTGCAACTTCAGTACTCTTTCTCCTCTGTAACAAGGTTCCTTTTGTTATTTATATTGCTTATAAAGAGGGGAAGGGGGAGGGGTTATCAACATCAGCATACTTCCCCAGTCATAATATTTATGAACAACAAAACACATGATTGGTCAATTTTTACTCTTTTCTTAGCAGCTACAGCTGTACCTAAAATAAAATAAAATAAAATACAAACAAATTCTCTCTTCAAAGGATTTGTTCTGAGTTAGGGTGCAAACCTCCTCTTCAGCAGAGGTAGAAAGCTCACTGATGAAGCAAAAATCTTACACATCTGAATTAACAGTCAGAATAAGGAGTTCAGTGGGGCTCCATTCAAGGATGCATAAGACTGCAGCCTTAAACCTGGCTCCTAAACAGCTAAGCCAAATAAAAGCTAATCTTGGAATCTTTGTTCTAAAAACAACACTTGAAAAATCATCAACACAGTGGTTTGTAACAGGAAAAGATCGAGAGAAGAGCTGGCCCAGCACTGAAGTTTTGCTGAGAAACATTGCACTGGATCTTTACCGTAAGAAGGGTTGCATGTGTGTTAAGATAGCGATGATGATTTTAAAATGGTTCCTCTTCTATTCTGTATAGGCACAGGACACTCTTCACAGGGTAAGTCTAGAATGAGATTGTATTTTACATTCCATAGGATGACGAAGCTTACACCCTGGTCCTTTTCTAAAGCAAGTATCTGATATATAAATGCTGGTGGACATTCTGCTTACATTTCCCTTCCCCTTCTCCATAAGGATCGGAAACTATATACACAGTTAAATATTTTTTAGGAAGTTGATCGTGCAATACAATGGGCATGTACACAGAAATAAGAGTGCAAGAGATGATTGACAAATAGCAATGAGCACTGATGGCGAGTAGGGAGAGGAATCACTCATTTTGTCCAAAAAGGAGGGAGAATATTGTAGCATTGACCTGTTGGGATGCCCTGAGAAAAAGTGGTGCCCATTTATAGCATGTTACTGAAGCAAGAACCTACTTGAGTAAAATAAAATACATCCCATATTATTTGCACTGCCAAAAAACTCAGGGTGCAATCCAACGAGCATGGAGGGAACACTACTGTCCAGTCTCCATTCATTCACCGGAGCTCCTGAGCAACATCCAAATCTATTAGGAGGCTATGCATAAGTGGTTCTTTAGACTGAGCCATCAGTCCTTAAAAAGGCAAAGAGTGAAAAGCTCCCTCTCTCTCAAAAAAAACTGTACATTCTTCAGGGGTGTGTATCTGTGTATACAGTGGTTGTTTAAAGGAATAAGATTGCGTATTGGGTTACAAATGCTTGGAGAACACAGGCAATTTTCACTTGTGCCTAGTTCCTTTTTCTGAAAAACCACCAAAAGAACAACAAAGGTACCCCCCCCTGGTTTTAAAATATTGAAAAAAACCCAGCAATGTGTTGTAAACTCTTATTATTCCATTTAAAAAATAAGGAAAAAAATGAAAAACACAAGACTTATTTGGCATATTCTCTGCTTACTCCTGAATATCTTAAGGCCCTGAGATTAGAATATTATGTTCTTGGGACCTAGGGCTAAATCCTAAACCCTAGTGCATCAACTTTCTCTTTAAACCCTAACCAAAGTTCCAACTTCTCTAACATACCATACATTTCCACTTGGATAAGGCTTAGTTGCCCCCTTTAGCTTTCTTGTACAGAAACAAATGAAACACCACGGATGTTACTGGTATTCTGATACCACCAAAGTGATGTCCATCAATGAAAATATACTCTGTAACAGAGGTATGCGCCCGCTGTCAGGACAGTGAACATGCAGATGTTGACCAGGAATGGTTTCCAAGTTGTCATCATGCTTTCTTCATCCTCTTCTTCTGGCTTCAAAATTTCATCATTGCATGGTGAAGCATCAACAGTTCTCTTCCTAAGCGTACTATCTGGACTGGTGCTGCAGGACAATAAACATGCTGAGATTAGAAGAATTCTTTGGTGCGTGGTGATTAGTGAGGCTTAATTTGAAAAGTAAATGAGCTTTCCCCAGCATGATTCCAATATTCTGGTTCTGTCATTTAAGTCATTAAATGACTTCTTAACAAGAATAGCTAAATTAAAACAGGACAAATTAGGAAAGGGGTCCCGTTGATATAAAAAGCAATAGTGACATCTAGTGTTAAAATACACTTCACCTTTATGTTTCTGATAACCATCTCACTCAATTTCTGGATAAAGTTTCTATAAATGGAGCTAGAAAACTTGAAATCACCTCTAAATTTCTTTTGAAGAGGCAAGGTGTTTCTCTGAAAAATTTGTCTTAAAGAATCTGAAGTAGAACCACATAGGACCATTAGTTCCATAATTATTTTTTTATATATCCCCCTTTCCCAGGAATAATAAACTTACATGAAATTTATAGTTTCATCCTGACAACATTTAAGCTCAATTAAAACACTTCATTCCATTGAGAAATTTTTAAATAAAATGCTCTCCTTCATTTTCAGCCATTGCAAATTTAAGTAAATAAGTTAAAATATTTTCAAACTATAAGACATGACATTCTTCTTTCAAACTCATATGCTATCATGGATTTTTTTTTTAAGCAATGTTATTTCAGAAGGCAAGTAAGAAAAATATTAGCTTCTTTCAAAGCTACTTTTTGACTTATAAGAATCATACTTTTATATCCTTTATTAGGTTACTAAAGTAGCTCAGGTATAGGGTGGCTTTTAACTCAGATATGGCAATATTATATTGTCCATACAGAATTCAATTTAAAACATTTAAATTTAAAGCATTTAAAAGCTTCTTTTTCCAGAAGATTGTGATGTTTCTATGTGTCATATTATAATAATAATAATAATAATAATAATAATAATGATGATGATGATGATGATGATGATGATGATGATGATGTTGGAAGGGACCGACCTTGGAGGTCATCTAGTCCAACCCCCTGCTCAGGCAGGAAACCCTATACCATTTCTGACAAATGGCTGTCCAGTCTCTTCTTAAAAACTTCCAGTGTTGGAGCATTCACAGCTTCTGGAGGCAGGTTGTTCCACTGATTAATTGTTCTAACTGTCAGGAAGTTTCTCCTTAGTTCTAGGTTGCTTCTCTCCTTGATTAGTTTCCACCCGTTGCTTCTTGTCCTGCCTTCAGGCACCTTGGAAAATAGCTTGACTCCCTCTTCTTTGTGGCAGCCCCAGAGATATTGGAACACTGCTATCATGTCCCCCTTCGTCCTTCTTTTCATTAAACTAGACATACCCAATTCCAGCAGCCGTTCCTTATATGCTTTAGCCTCCAGTCCCCTAATCATCTTTGTTGCTCTTCTCTGTACTCTTTCTAGAGTCTCAACATCTTTTTTACATCACGGTGACCAAAACTGGATGCAGTATTCCATGTGTGGCCTTACCAAGGCATTGTAAAGTGGTATTAACACTTCACGTGATCTTGATTCTATCCCTCTGTTAATGCAGCCTAGCACTGTGTTGGCCTTTTTGGCAGCTGCAGCACACTGCTGGCTCATATTTAGGTGATTATCCACTAGGACTCCGAGGTCCCTCTCACAGTTACTACTATTGAGCAAGGTACCCCCTATACTATACCTGTGCATTTGGTTTTTCTTGCCTAAATGTAGAACCTTGCTTTTTTCACCATTGAATTTCTTTTTGTTAGATAATGCCCAGTGTTCAAGTCTGTCCAGATCCTTCTGTATCTTAAGCCTGTCTTCTGGAGTGTTGGCTATTCCTGCCAACTTGGTGTCGTCTGCGAATTTGATGAGTTCCCCATCTATCCCCTCGTCCAAATCGTAATATACATGGGTATATGCATAATTCTGTATTTATTTATTTTTGTCATATTTATGTAGTGTATATTGAGAGCTGTATGCTACAAAATGTCATTTTAACGTATGCCGATTAGTGTACATTAAAAGTGACAATAAAGTTTTTATTCTATTATTCTGTTCTAAGATAATGCAATCTACAGCAAAAATGACTCAACTTTCAAATGTCTAATTTTATTTCATACCCTGACATATGGGAAGGAGAATTATATTTCCAGTGTATTTTACTGAATACATTAGAAAAAAAGGAGCAGAGGACACAAACTAATGGGAACATACTTTAAGCTGAGACAATTTGTTGAGAATCTACAATAAATACTCCAAAGTACTCCTTGGCAACATTACCTCTCCATGCCCTGCTGCTCAGAGGAATAAGCTCTGCCATCCAGGACACTGGCTTCCAAAGCCCTGGCAGCGTACTTGATTTCTTCCTCAGCCCTTGGATGCTTTGAAAAAACTTCCATAGGATCATGCACCCTTCCATTATTCATTTCAGAGGTTCTTTTGGGTGGCCTTGGAGGGGGAGGAGTATGCTCTGGTGGTGGATCCAAGTCTTCATTAGAGAGTTCTTTCCACTGCTCCTTCAACATGAAGAAGGAATTTATTAACTTCTCTAAAATGATCATTAATTCCCTCAATCCCTGAACATTTTCCTGGATATATAGGAACCTAAAATTTATAGAGACAATCCTGATAGGGCTCGAGGTTGACTCAGCCTTCCATCCTTCCAAGGTTGGTAAAATGATGACTCAAATTGTTGGGGGTAATACGCTGATATTTGTAAACCACTTAGAGAGGGCTGTATAGCACTGTGAAGTGGTATATAAGTCTAAGTGCTATTGCTATATTTATGAAAAAGTTGTTGTAGTTTGTTATATTTAAATATATATGAGAAACTTTCTTATGGAAAACACATGCTTCAGAGAAACCTCTCTTACCCTTGTCTTCTTGTGTATAAAATATAGACAGGAAGTGGGAAGAAAGGGCAGAATAAACATTTTTTGTTATTATTATTACTTTATATTGTTTTGGGGGGGGCATGATTCTGCTTTATGTTTTGTAGTTTTAACTGTAACCTTCCCAGAGTTGTTGGGAGTCATAAATTACATTGGAAAAAAAATCAACAAATGAAGAATTGGGGCATGTTTTGCCCTATATTTATAACAATGGTTCCCTGCATTTGTAAACTGTGAACAAGGAGTTGTGTTTCTAATCAGAATCTCATATAATCCTAAACAAGTTCTTCACTGCAGCCAGTGCTCATTCTTGATCATATACTTTCTCATTTTACTACAAAAGTATACCACCATTTGTCATCAATGTCCTGCTACTTTTTACAGAAGATAAATCAACTAATTCCATGAAAATAAATAGACATCAAATCTGATAAATATCCATGAGGAAAAAGTGGTCAAGAAGAATACTGTATCTCAACCTCCAGGGAGATGCCATCAGAGCTTATTTTAAAACGAAGGACTATGATATCAGATTTCAATGTGAAACAGCTAAGCTGTAACTTATTAAGAGGTTCAAACTCAACTTCCTATGGCACAAACAGAGCTAATAACATCTTGCCATTTTATTACTGTTAAATCATATCTCTAATGGAAAAGTATTTCTCATATGCTAATTATGAATATCATAATCATTACTAGCTCTTACTGATTAGGAATCTGAGAAAGACTACTGTAATTCCCCCAAATATATGTCATAATAAACTCTGTATTATATATCTGTCTATCATCTATCTATTTCTCTATTTCTCTCTCTCTCTTCCTACCTACCTACCTATCATCTATCACAGTGGTGGCGAACCTATGGCACGGGTGCCAGAGGTGGCACTAAGAGCCCTCTCTGTGGGCACGCGCGCCATCGACCCAGTCCTAGGCCTTCAGCTGGGTTTTATAAAACCTTTTCGCTTTAGGTCTTCGCCATGTGCAAAAAAAAAAAAGGTTCAATCAGTCAATTTCAACTTCTCACAGGGAAAAAAAGATCTTGCAAAGTTGGAATTGATTGAACTTTTTAGTCCCACCCAGTCTGTCGTTACCACTGCAGCCACGCCCACCCAATGGGCCACACCCACCCAATGGGCCACACCCACATGGCACTTGATGATGCATAAGTGGGTTTTGGGTTGCAGTTTGGGCACTCGGTCTCTAAAAGGTTCGCCATCACTGATCTATCACCTTTGAAAATACCAAAAGTTTCTATATTATTTGCTATGTTTATTAGCTATGTTGACTAGCATGCAAAAAAAATAAAATAAATCATGGACCACTCCTTTTTAATGCATAACACTGCATTGGAATTCTTCCACATACTAAAACCTAAGAGTCACTATAAAGAATAATTGAAATTGAAGACAATATGTATTGCGCTCACTTGTACTGAAGAATCGCCCATAATAAATTTGGCTCCCTCTGTAACAGCCAAGTATGAGAAGCGAAGTTGGTCTGCTGTTTGTATAAGCCCCATTCGGTATTTCCTCATTTCTAAAAGAACCTGTTTAATGTCGACAGAAGAAGGATCTTTCCTTTTGTCCATCTGCACAAAGAGAGGTGACACTTAGTGAACTATCTTATCATGTTTCTCAGAATTCACAGGGACTTTTGAAATAAAACAACACACATGATGTAAAAATTCATATATCGACAAAAAATGTCCATGAATGCAGAAACAATGAGAAATCAGCACTTATGCAACAAACCAGAAAAGTAATTCCTGAGAACAAACACATGCAACTCAACAAGAATTTGATCGCATAAAAGCATACAGTAGTATAAATTTTCATTTGCAGAGTAGTTGCAAACCACTGATATTAAGAATTCTCAAGTCTCCTAAAATGACACAATATTCAATAAGAACACAAAGATAGCACATTTTATTACAACTTAATTTCTGTGAAATTCACACCATCATAATATAATCTTAAGGGGGCTCAAAGAATTTTATTTCTTACCATATTAAAAATGACCATCCCTCTGAAAACGTTTGCAGCTATCATGCTTAGTTCCAATACTCAACAATAGATAAGGAATTACAATGTCCTCAGGCCCCTTAGAAACAGTTGACTTTATTTGCTATCTTTTATATCAGCCCAGAATATGAGTTTTATGTCTGTAAATCACATTTCAGTATTTATTACCTTATAATAAAATGTTCTTAAAATAAAATCCATTACTTTTAGACTAAAATATTTTATAGCAATAAATATTAGGTCCATAAAGCCTAACCTTGAGTCACTATGTGAGATGGCAGTTTCTAAGTATGTAGGTAGGTAAATAGATTATATAGAAGACAGACAGACAGACAGATAGAATGAGATAAGCAATGAATAAATGGTAAGTTATCATGGTTTTTCTGGGATCAACTCAAATCTCCTTTAGGCAACATGAATGTTAGAGATTCAGCAATTGAGCCTTATACCAATTTGAGAATCTAATAGTTACTTATAAGAACCCAAGGAAATAATCTAAAAAATTATATAGATTGTTACTGCAATTAGCAATAGGAGATCCACCCCAAGATTTAAAGGAAGTTTGAGATACTGATCTTGGTAAATCCATACAAGAAACAAATTTGCAGAATTATAGAAATCAGGTGAATTCACCTTAGCTTTAGTCCAGGAATTGCAGTGAAACATTATATACTGATGGCACTTGATCCCAGTTAGATTGGCACTTATCTATCAGAATTATGCTTGCCAATGCTGGAGAGATTGTCAAAAAGATATTTTTTCTTATATCTGTGGTGGTCATATTTGGTATAAAATTTCTTGTAGATAAGTATCATTGCTAAACAAAGAATTGAACACACTGCCTCATTGTGGCGGTGGTGGTCCACCCTTACAAGGTCCTTCTCTACTTACTTCTTGTGACTTTCGCAAACGGTTCTTATATATATATAAGGGTCGTCCTTGTGGGTCCTTTTCATTCGTCTGTTGCGAATTTCCTTCTATAACCTCCGTCTAGTTGTAAAAGTACTGTTACGGTTTTCGTAGTTAAGTATAACACACCCTCTTCCGTTACCATTTGGTGACCTGTATTTTTACCAAGAAAACCATATGGATGTCATCTATGATCATTATTTATTTACTTATTCAATTTATATGCTGCCCATCTGGCCAGGAGGCAAAGCTAGACATCTTACAATCATTAAAACCAACAAAAAACAATGAAACATTAAATAATAACATTAACGACACTGCAGATACAATGAAATAATGCTGTTTCGCCACTTTTACCCCCATCAGATAGGCTTTAATACCAGCTCTAAATCACGTCTGATTGGATTCCTCTCTCATTTTCCTCCAGGGGCACTCTAGGTATCTTTTCACCCTTTTCAGACCCACAGCTCCTCCGTGAACCATGGGGAGTACCTGGAGCGATTGGTCAAAAGAGGCGCAATCCTATCCAAAGGGTCAGCTGCCCTTTGGGTCCAGATCATAACCAGAGCCTCAGCAGGACCGTGCAGTAAATCGCCCAGGATATCCCCCAGTTCCCTCTGGAATCCTTTTCAGGTTCATCAATCTGACTTTTTAGTAAATTTTTTAAAAATATTTTCTACATCTTTTTATAGACATCTTAAATTTATGTTATTATTTGATAACTTAAAAAAAGCAAAATTAAATAAACCAATTAGTAACCAAATGTAGGAAAAAGAACATTAGGGGCATACAGTGCAGGAGTTTACTACTTAATAAACTAGCCCTGCCTCTCCCTAAGCATAACCCTTATTACTTCTGCTAATACCATTTCAACCATGCCGTTTAGTCACATCCTACAGTAAACCACAAAATGGTTTATTTGTAAACCCGGCCAACCAAGATGTATTAAATAAATCATGCTTAAGCAAATAATGGCTTCATGCAACCTGTGAACCTTGCCAAGTTCATCCCTACAGCCACAAGGATTAGAAATTAGAATTTTACTAAGGGAAGGGCAAAAAGAAAATAATACTAAACTTTCTAGGAAAAAAGGTCCAAAGTGCCTGCTTTTAGACATGTAATAATATTAGCATGGAGTACGTTGTGATCAGAAATACATTGGGCAAGACACAATTGCTGCAATCCTAATTACACTTATCCTAAATGCTACTAAATAAACATCACTGAACACAATGGATCTTACATTAAAGTAAACATGCTTAGCATTGTAATCCTTTGCAAGGGTTGTTGTCGTGACTTTTTTTTTCAAAAGTTGCAGGATGTACTTCCAAATAAATTCTACAGCCTTAGGACAGCATGGGATTTCCCACCAGGGTTTTAGATAGGCTAGAATAGAATAGAATAGAATTGTGGGAAGGCACTAAAGAGTCCTGGAGAGCTATTCATGAATTATTTGAAAGGTCGAATTTTAAATTCCGTTACTTTTAGTTTTTCTATTACAATTTGTAACGGGTTTAGTTCTCCATGTCACATTAACCTTGTTCTTTCCTCGTCTTACCCCTTTCTTAACCACCATTCATAACTGATTGTCTCCAGTCTGAAATGACTTATAAGACGACCACGATTCGAAACTTCGGTTTTGTGTCGTGACTTCTTACCCATTTACTCAAAAGATTTATGGGAAAACTTCAACAACAGTGTTTTTTGTGTTCCTCCCAGCTGCTGTAGCCTCTTCTTTCCCCTTCCAGTCTTTTCTTTTTCAATGTCAAAATTGAAAAGAAATATGGGATATTGTCTAACTCAGAGGTCCCCAACCTTTTGGGCACTAGGGACCGGTTCCGTGGAGAAAGGTTCTTCCACGGACCAAGAGTGTGTGGTTTTGTGTGCTGCCTGCATTCCACGGATGGGGCTTTGCTTGTTTTTACGGACCGGTTGCTGGCATGTCGCGGCCCAGTACCGGTCCACGGATCGGGGATTGGCGACCCCTGGCCTAGATCAGAAGTCTCCAATCTTTCTTGGTTGGCAGACCAGAGGGAAAGGGAGGAGGAAGCATTTTACGTGCGCGTGCTAGTGGCACCCTGTTTTTTGTCGTGTGGTGCCCCATTGGCGTAATGGTGGCACTAGCATGAGTGGGGGTGAGTGCACGCACTGGTCAGCCTGTTCTGCGGCCCGGTGGCCAGTGGGCCATGGCCCACAGGTTGGGGACCCCTGGTCTAACTTATGGGCTTTCATATCAGTTCCTACTCCATTCAGCAGCCTTTATTGCAGAAGCACAATGGTGATCAAAACAAAAATACCTTGCAGAAGTCCCTGAAAAGTATTTTGCTCTGAGCCCAGTTGAACCAACCATATAACCAACCCAAATTCCTGCTATGCCTATCAGCCATTCTTACCAAGAGAAGACAAGTATCAACCAGACAAAAAGTTCCTGATCTTCCAATTCCAGCACTGCAATGCACTACAATGGGACCATGCTCAGGACTCAGAGACCCCGATTCTCTCACTTTGAACAGGAAGTTGAGGAATGAAGCTGGAGATTCCGGGACTCCAAAGTCAGGCCACGTTGTGTAATGAAAATGCAGAATTTCTCGCGTTTCATGTGTCTGTAAAGTGTTAAGTAAATTAATAAATTAAAGATGAAAAATGGACTTGCAATTTGGAAATTGGAAGTATCCTGTTAAGCTTTGGAAAATGCCTAACAAATGTGAAGTTATAGGAAATAACAGCAGGATAGTGATAATGCCATTCCCAACAGACATCATAGAATTAAAAATCCTGGATATTAGCAATATTCAAAATTAGAATGAAATGCTATCCAAAATCAAAACTTAAGACTTTTAATTTCAACTATAGAAATTCTTGAAGCATCAAGAATGCTAAGCATCACCCATTTTAATAGAGAACCAATGCTGCAAAATATAGCACACTGATTTAATTTTTATCATACTCACTATGAGGTTATTCAGTTCTAATTGTCGGACTGTATAATAGGATTTTACATCTTCTGATATTAAGGTCAATATAAAGTTTGTATCTTCAAAGAACATTTCTTTCTCCTCTTTTTGTGGCCAATATTGTGCACATTTTATCTGGAGGGCAGAAAGCAGAACATGACTTACATGCAAATTATTTAACATAGAATGAATACAGCTAAATATAAATACACTCACCAAATCATCAATATATATGACACTCAGAGAACACCATGGTAAGATTACACTTTCAATCTGTATAGCTCTGCACTGATGGGCACTTTTATATGCATGTTTATTCAGACATACATAGAAACAAAATGCTTAATCTCAAAAAAAAAATTCCAATATTTTTTCCTTAAGACACTGCAACTATTAAGTGCACCATTGCTATCTCAATAATTTGGCTTGACACTAGATTCTGAATTTCTGGATCTACTTTGGGATTACAGAATATGTCACTAAGAAACATGACAAGGTAAGAACATTATCCAAGCGATTTAAGGATTGGATGTTCACCTGGATGACTTCAGGAACAAACTTTGAATTGCAATTCAAATGAAAGAGTTGCATTAAAGACAGCCTGGATACCTCAGACCTAGCTTCAAAAATCCCCCTCTTATGAAGTCATTTTGATGGCACATGGGATAGTTAAAGACTACAATAGTTTATTGTAAATGAAGTCTGAACTGCTCATTATCTAAGTTTTTGACTAATCATACAAATTTTCAAAGAAATTATCTTCCAGGAAATCTAAGAAACCCATCATTAGGATGTGCACATGCTAGAAATATCTATCTAATCCTCGAAAATAGGGAGTCTTATTGGAAAATCTAGAATTGCACTAAGTAACACACATTTTGGTCACAAAAAATATACCCCAGAGAAGACAAAATAATTTCTCTGGCTAGGATTAAAACTCAGCAGAAGTTAAGAAGGAAATGTTCACTACTTATGGATTTTTAGTGTTCTATTCTCAAAGTAAGAACCATATTCTTTCTTCCTTTGTTTCTAGCCTCTAACAAAGACATTAATTATTATACTCATTAAATACCAATGAAAAATAATTAAGCGTGGGATGATTATACTGAAGGTTTTTTATGGAACAGAATCAAATGGGATTCACAAAAGAAATGCTTTCAAGAAGTTGACTCATTCTTAGAGGGAACAACATTTTTCTTCCTTTCAACCTGAACAGCACGATTCAGCTAGATATAGTAAGAAATTATAACCGCCTGTGAACTTATTTTTCCTTACAGCACATGAGAGAATTTGCCGCACGTATGATTTTTGTACCTCATGGTGACAAACAATGATTCCTATCCATTTAGTGTCCCACACAACCATTTGTTTAGTGGAGTTGGCAGCCTGCTCTAAAGAGCTCTCTATAATTTCATACTTTGCTCATAGTTACCAGCAATGGTGAAATGTACATAATGGTGGTTGGGGCAATGCTGAAGTCAGAACATTTTTCTTTTAAGTCTATTTCATGACTTGTATTACTATAGAATTTATCTGAGGGACCGTGTCTCTTGCCAGTCATATCCACTGGACCCACTAGAGCAGGGAATGCTGCAGGTCCTGTCCCATAAGGAGGTACATTTGGCAGGACCCAGAAGAATGGCCTTCTCCCTGGTGGCTCTGTCCCTTTGGAACAACAAGCCTGCAGAAATTAGACTGACCCCCACTTTGACAGTCTTTCATAAGGCCCTGAAAACTTGGTTTTGCCAGCGGGCCTGGGGAACCCAGACCACCAAATAGCTTATTTAATCATGTGTTGTTGCTGGGGGTGGGTGGTGGTAATTTTTTAAAAAACATATACTGTGTTTTTATTGTTTGTAAACCACCTAGAATTGCTGTAGGTGGCTATATACATTTTCTAAATAAATAAATAATAAATAAATAGAATTGGAAGCCTCTTCTCGGTGCACAAATAACTGCTAAAAACTAGTCTTCTCCTTTTCCTCTTCTTCCTCCCTCCCACTTTCTCCCTTTGAATCAGTATTGGTGACTGCCTGGAAAAGTCCCTGCAGTTTTCTTGGCAAGATTTCAGAAGTGGTTTACCACTGCCTTCTTCCTAGGGCAGAGAGAGATTGACTGTCCAAGGTCACCCAGCTGGCTTCCTGTCGAAGGCACTTGAACTCATGATCTCCCATTTCTAGCTCTATACCTTAATCACTACATCAAACTGGCTCTCTAGAGTCATCTAGGTTGAGGGAATTCTTTCCTACACTTCAAAAGGAATATGGTTCACCATCTCCTTTAAAGAGGTCCAGAAATGCAACATCCACTGAGGTCATTTCTTTGAAGTGGCAAACCAACCACTGTTTGAAAGAGAAAGACAGTCTTGGATGTTTAAGGATGAAGCCCAGCACCAAACATTATGATTTCAGGAACACCTATACTAATTGACATGCATGACAACTAAGTGAATGCTGGCTCACTCGTGAGTTTAATCTCGTCCCCCGAAATTTTAGTATAAATGGTGAAATGTTCTGCACAATTTTTAACATATTTAAAATGTCTGTCTGCTGCCTTTTTAAAAACGTAGAACTGTTTTGAAGTTGGGTAAGGGATTTGTATTACTTCATGAAATGCTAGCCAATCAGCTTCATGAATCATTTCTGCTAAAAAAGTATCTGCCAATTTTTTTTTATCTGCAAACATGGGCTGGACTGAGTGCATTGAGGTTAACCAAACATGGTCTACTATTATCTGGCTTTTCTGCAAGTGTCTTTTAACAATTTTTAGACTGTTTAGAAATTATTTACAAACTGCATTGTGATACTAATATCTGAGATACAAAATTCCATTATGCAATAAACAATACATAAAATGTATTTAATCTTGAATTATTTCTTTTTTTTTCTTTAGAAAAATCATGTATAGGCAGGCATTCAACATAAAAAATATGGGGAGATGATGACCATTAGGAAGAGGAACCAAAAACTATTGCTCCACATAGTACTTACTTCTCCTTGAAGTAAGCTTTCATATAGACCTTAAAAGAGTCTATCGAAAACAAATGCTACTGAGAACTTCCAGTGTCAAGTACCATCAACTGCATGTCAGATCTTGGCTTCCATACCAAAATGTAGAAGGTGAACATTCTTGGCTCAAAATCTCCTTCCCAAGAGGTTCTATGCACAACTGCTATAAACATTAAAATAAAGCTCCTGAAAGAGGATGAACTATGTCAAATAATTATTTGTAAGATATTTAGGATCTTTATTTTCATTACATAATGAAGGAAGACTGTAAAAGAACTAGTTCAGTTTGTAGCATCCTATTTACATTAGTCAGAGTTCTGTAGGGCCTCAATACAGACTAGAAAAGCAGAAATGATGCCTCAATATGAAAATTAGTTGGATCAAACACTTCTTTGCTGGCAAAAAACAATAATGTTTAGGTACATTTATATGAACTAAAATAAACACATGCAAATAGTGATTCTGGGAAAGGGTTAAAAAATAGTATTTGCTGAAAATTTGGTGCTGGTGATTTAAGAAACCTTTTTTTTATTTAATGCTGCACTGAATTTCCAGGCTCCTTTGCTTAAAAAAAAAAGGCTATTAGACACAATTGAATTTACACGGCAAACTTAAGTTCTGATCTTGAAAGCACTTAAGCAACACTTCTTTTATTTTAGAAAAATGCTTTGTGGGACAATTTTTTTTTATTTTTCCTAGATTAAAAACATTAGACTATTTTTACTAGATTTTTAAAATGTACATGAATTACGTACCCATGATCCCAAAGGAGTTAAAAATTATATATACTTACTGATCCCTTTTCCATAACTCTGTTAAGCATGACAACACCACAGCTTTTCTGTTCCCAAATCATCTCCCAAAAGTGACCACAAGTATTTGGAAGCGGACCCTGAAAAGGATACTGAACTTTCAAGAAAAAGCAGTATTCATATGGCACAAATTTCTGAGTACTATAATCAAATAATACTTATTTAGTTATTCTAAATGCAACACAGTGTGGCTTCCATTTCTAGGTATATAAAATCTGGCGTCCAGATTGGGACAATTTAGAATTAATAACAAACAAAGAAGCAATTGCAAGTTAGTTAGCTTTGTTTGCTAGTTGCCAGATTGTAATATTTAACCATGCATCAAAGCTTTTTGTACAAATAGGCAAGAATACTTAAGCGTATCTTCCAGAAGGAAAAACAGAATAATAGAATAACAGAGTTGGAAGGGACATTGGAGATCTTCTAGTCCAACTCCCTGCTCAAGCAGGAGACTCTATATCATTCCAGATAAATGGCTGTCCAATCTCTTCTTAAAAACCTCCAGGGTTGGAGCACCCACAATTTCTGAAGGCAAGGAAGATGGGAAAGAAAAGGTCTTAAGGCAAAAATGTCACTCAGCAGGATAAGCTATATTCTGTAGTTAGTGTAACTTCTGATTTGTTGAAATGAAGAATTATTAAAACTCATAGGAAGTTCAGTAATTTTTAATAGTTCTTGGCCTGACAAAGAAAATCAGTGAGAGTTTACTCTTTCTGTTAGATGTTTATTCCACCATTTTTAAGGTTACCCTCTCCTAAGTCAAAGGCTCTTGTTTTTCCATCAAATTAAGCCATGCTGCACTGAGATACTGAAGTATAAGCATACCAAATTTATCAGAATTTAAACAGTAACCAAAAACCAACCAAAGATAAATCTTGTTCCTGGCATATTCTGGGGCCCTTACACTGAAAGTGCATGACAGATTACAGAGAATGGCTGTAATTCATTTGATTAATTTACAAATGACAGAATATCAAATGTATGTTGTCTTTTGTAACAATTAATATATATAATCTATGCTAGCCTATGCCTGTAATAAAGGTTTGATGTGATATGTGTGTGTGTGTGTGTGTGTGTGTGTGTGTGTGATCCAGTGTTAAAAGGAAATGGAACTTAAAAGAATTTGGAATTGCTAGATTTTTCCATGATCAGAAAAAAAAAATCTTTTAATTAGTTGAGGAGGGATTTATCACTGTCAATTTCACAAAAGTGATTAATTGCTCTCACTGGTCATAATACAATATACCCATGGTGGCGAATCTATGGCACACGTGCCACAGGTGGCACACAGAGCCCTCTCTATGGGCACGCGTGCCGTTGCCCCAGTCCTAGGCCTTCAGCTGGATTTTATAAAACCTTTTTGCTTTAGGCCTCCGCCGCTGTGTGCAAAAAAAAAAAAAAAAGGTTCAATCAATCAATTTCAACTTCTCGTGGGGAAAAAAAGATCTCGCAAAGTTGGAATTGATTGATTGAACTTTTTAGTCCCACCTAGTCTGCCGTTACCACCACAGTCACACTTACCAAATGGGCCACACCCACCCAATGGGCCACGCCCACCCGGCATCCGATGATACATAAGTGGGATTTGGGTTGCAGTTTGGGCACTCGGTCTCTAAAAGGTTCGCCATCACTGCAATATACCATACACTGATTTGCTTTTCTCTCACTTATGGTCCTATCTATCATCTTCCCTCTTAACAGAAATCAGGAAAAAGCAACTTAATACCGTTGAGAATTTTGGGACTAAAACTCAGCTATATGGGATGAGGGAAATTGTGGACCCAAACAATGCTCATCCAAATTCTACTAAGGCTCTTGCCATTCAGTTGGAGGGACCTGGATTATTATGAGTGACATAATTTACAAAGGATCTGCAGCTAAATGTTAGTTTTGTGAGGTAGCATTTTGGTACTGATTGTTGAACTTTAAAACCTTGCCTACAGAGCTACTTTTATAAAGATTCTGTACTGAAATTTTCATACTCCTAGATTTAATAAAAGATGAAACTAAAGAACAGCTTCCTCAATTTGTGCCCAGTGGCTTCTTAGTATTTCGAGATATCTGCTATATAATACAGATTTCTTAAAAAACAGAAGATAAACCTTATGTTAATCATCTTTAACAGTTCAGATCCAATAAATTAAAGGAAAAGTATTGAAGCAGAGCCAAATGAACAGATGAATAATTTAAAGTACCTAAGGGGACAAGATTTTATCAAAGGAAGCAGCTTTGGAAAGAAAAAATGGTGTGATCAACAACCAACAGGAAGGGTGTGGCACACCACTTCCTACAGTGTGCTATTTCAGGAGTAGATGGCTTGATTCTGTCTTAATAACAATAGGTCCTATGCTAGATTAGCATTCCTGAGATTAGTGTCCTCCAGATGTTTTGGATCTAAAGGCCCTTAATCCCTGGTCAACACTTTCCAAGAAGCATCCATATCTTCCTTAGGTATTGCCCATCCTTCCAAAAAACATGTAATTCTGAGAGCTAATCAGGAAATGATCAGCAGTTTAAGGCCAATTCTTTTAGTGAGAACTGCACAATTCCACACTAGTTAAATTATAAAGCATGGAAATATGTGACCACATTTTGGGTGCTCGGCAACCGATCCATATTTATAGCCATTTGCAGTGTTCCATCGTCGTGACTGTGATTTACAATGTTTTTGCTAAAAACTGGCATTTATTTTCAATTTTCAGCAAACGTGCCCCACTGCAAACAATGGATTTGCTTAACAACCATGTCATTAATGATTGCCACAAAAAATATCATAAAATTGGGACAGTTACATTATTACAACTGTCATAACATGATAATGGGTAGGCTCCATTATGGCTAGATATCCTTAAGGCTTTAATCTAACCACTTAGTATTCTAAAAGATCCTCAACTCTTCCTTAGTAGCATGTTGTCCTATTTGACTTGAGGGACTTCGCTGTCAATCATGAAATAATGATTGTCTATTCATGCAGGTTTTTTTTTAGTAAAATACAGGGGTTTATCATTGCTTTCTCCACAGTATGAAATGATACCTTTGATGTTTTCACTAAAGTGATCATCTGCTTGCAGCATCACTATTTCCCAATATCAGTGCCTGCTTGATTTAGCTAGGAGGACCTTCACACCACAGGCGATCCTGCTGGGAATATATAGTTCTGTCATATACACTTGTCGTTCTTTGCTCATCTGTCTCAGAAACACCCTCCCTCCTCACCACAATAAAGCAGCATTGTAGGAACTGGGGAGGTGGAAAGGGCAGAATAGCACCCTATACCTATAGCATATACAGTAACTGCATGATGGGTGAAGGTAAAGCATTTCACTTGTTTTCCCACACAGTTACCAGGTGTGAGCTCCAAGACCAAAAAAACCGGAAAGAAGGACTACTATTTTCTTTCTACTATTCTTTTAAAGTTCTTACCTGTGTAAGGATATAACTTCTGTTTGCCTCCTCCATTTTTATCAAACTTGCATTGACATAATCATTGTCACCTTGCTGCAGCTTAATTCGGCTGTGGTCAACTACAGAATGGATAAAAAAAACCACATTATTAAACACTTATATAATATTTATACTTTGCTAAACAACTCATTTGAGAATAAAGAAGTAAGCCTTTTTGTTTTCAAAAATATGAAACACAAAGCAAAACCTTTATTCTTAAGAAAAGTTCCTATACTATTATCAAGTATTCTTGGAAAAAGAAGAGCACTTCATATTTAATAAGATGTGACACCATGAGCCAAATGTCATATCCCGTGTTATTTTTTTCATTCTACATAAAACCCTGATACGCTGCCTTCTATGAAAACTTCTGAAAGTGTTTTAAGAAACAAATGTATAGTTATAAAACAGGAGTAACTTAAAACCAAGAATAAAAAAACACATACTAAGGTACAAGTGAGAACAGAAGGAAAAAAAATCAATATTTACACAAGGAAACTCTTCAATAAACATTTAAATAATGTAACAAATGTTTGCTTCTTGAGAGGGTGGTGGAGATGGAACGTTCCGCATAGTGACATAATAAGAAGATATTTTGTAGGAGATGGCCAAGCTGAGCTCGAGGGAGGGGTCAAGCGCATCATCAGCCTTCAGTCCCTTCGCACTCACAAGAGATCTAAGTCCAGCCCACCTTGAATTCCACTGATTCCTATCTACTGCAATTTGCTTGGTCAATTTGCTTAATTGTCATATAGTATATATTTTGCTGTTTTCTGAATCTGTTCCATTTTATGAAAATATTTCTTAAAATGTGGTGCCAGAAATGGTTATAATACCCAAAGCGGGATTAGACCAATGAAGGATAGAGTGGTTCAGATTCTTGTAGAGAGCTTTAGCATGCAATAAACCTGTAGTCATTTGAGCCACATTGCTTCCTGATTTATTGCGCCTGACATCTATGTGCACATGCATGCAATATCGCACCCGAATAATCTCAATAATCATGTAGATTTAAAATGAGTACCTCAGTTGGAAGTTTTATACGCTGCCTAGAAGTTAAATGGAAGCTAAACCAACAGTCAAGACAGCCATTAGAGTTACTTCAGCACAGAATGTATATAACATGTCCATTCAACATCAAAGGAGCTGTGTTTTGTCCTAATTGCAGCTTTCCAAACAGGTACATGAATGGTCCCATGCAGAACACTTTACAGTAAGCTAAATGTTGGATTATCAGCACATGGGTAATATTAGTCAAATTACTTCTAACCAGGAAAACCAGTTGAAGCCAACATGGATGCTCCTAGCAATATAAACCACCCTGGGCTCTAGAAATACTGTAGAAGAACCTCTACCTCTTTTTCGATTGTGTATAAACTTATTTAGAACAAGCACAATACAGAGAGTCATAGAGATATGCTAATGTAGAATTTACCATCTTATATGTAGGATTTTATAATCTTTTCCGTAAACCATTGCTTTCATTCTCAGGAAAAACTAAAATCTCTATCATAAAAATAATTAACTGCTTCACCTAAATTGTCATATAGTTAACATATATATAGTTAACATTTCTTAGAACCCAACCCACCGATTATCAATATTCAAAGCACTCTGACAGTAACTGCACTCTGTTTTAAAGATCTAAAGTTTGTTCCCTTTAGCCCACCCAGATATAAAAGAATCCCTACATTTTACAGGAAAACCAAACTGACTGGAAGCCATTTTATCTAAAACAAACAAAATCAATGGTGGTTACCATAAAAAGAATCTCTAGAACTGATCAGTAAGCAAAATTATGTGCAACACTATAGCATGTATTGAGTTTTCCTGGAAGGCTCAACAGATTTTTAGTCTATTAAATGATTGTAGAGGTTTTCTAACATATGGAGAAGAACAGACTGGCAATCTGAATGTGTAGCACACATGACAATCAAAGTAAAGCCCCTGTGTAGATGACTGTAATACTTGTAGATGAGCAGATGCAAAAGAAAACCAGGGCCGTGATGTGAATTTAAGACAAATATTTGATTTTAAATCCCCTTTCACCATCTTCCACCCACACTCATTTCTTAGGATTTAATGAGAACATTTTTTGTAAACTATTTTCCTCCTTTGGAAATAATTGCCATATGTCATAGCCACTAGTTCTACATAACCCTTCCAGATAGCTGACGCACCCCGCTATGAGTCTTTTCAAAGTTACAAATTTCTAGTTTCCTTGTTGATAGGTTTCAGTTTTTTAATTGCCTGATCAGTCTTATTGCTCTTTTCCATTTTATCAAAATATTTCTTAAAGTGTGGTGTCAGAAATGGTTATAATACTCAAAGTGGGACTAGCCTCCAGAAATTAGCCTTCAGACTAATGAAGAATTTCTATTTCTATTTCTAAACAATAGAGCTATTGTTTCCCATTTTATGGGATCTACATTTCATTTAATGCAATCTAAAACTGATCGTTTTATGACCATATCACAATGCCGAACTCACATTTAGTGCATAATTAACTATAATCCCAAAGTCTTTTTCTGATGTATTTGAAGATTTTTAATTGTTCAATTGCTTACACTCTCTTGGTCACCATATCACAAAAAAGATGTTGAGAGTTTGGAAAAAAATCAGAGAAGAGCCAAGGCCTGGAGACTAAAACATACAAAGAACGGCTGCAGGACTTGGGTTTGGCTAGTCTAAAGAAAAGAAGAAATAGGGGAGACATTATAGCACTATCACCAAGAAGGGGGGTCACGTTATTCACCAAAGCACCAGAGGGCAGGACAAGAAACAATGGTTGGAAACTGATCAAGACTTGGAATTAAGGAGAAACTTCCTGACAGTGAGGACAATTAACCAGTGGAACAGCCTGCCTCCAGAAATTGTGGATGTTCCATCACTGGAGATTTTTAAGAAGAGGTAGACAGTCACTTGTCTGAGATGGTATAGGTCCTCCTGCTTGAGCAGGGGGCTGGACTAGGAGACCTCCAAGGTCCCTTCCAGATTCTATTCTATTCTATTCTATTCTATTCTATTCCTATTCTATTTCTATTCTATTATTTTGTTGTGCTCTTTGTATAGTATTTCTGCTCTACCATGAGATAATTTAGAGCAGCAAGCCATAATCCAAGTGTGTAAACTCTTCTATATAGGATTATCTTATCTAATCTTCGCATATAAATGACTCTTTACGATTACACAATTCTCTCTTTCAGAAACCCTGTTTTGCAATTCCCAGAACCTCATCTGACTATAATTGCAAGAAATCGGCTGCCAAGTTTCCGAGATTTTTGGAATAAGAAATACAAGAGCTGTACCGTAAGTTCTAAAACAAGCTTAACATAACAAATACATAAAAAAAAATCTTCTAGCTTAGAAAATCCTCAGAAAATTTTCGCGAAGTGGTCCTACTGACTTGACATCTTGCTCACTGGGAACTTCAGTAACTCCCACATATTAAGTAAAACATCCACAACTAAACATGTTGCACATGTCTTACATACACAACTGAGCCCAAAATTTCTGTTCCTAAATGAGACCTTTGTTAAGTGAGTTTTTCCCCATTTTACAACCTTTTTTGTCACAGTTGTTAAGTGAACCACTGCAGTGGTTAAGTTAGTTAGTAATGTGGTTGTTAATGGAGAATCTTGCTTCGCCATTGAATTTGCTTGTCAGAAGGTGGCAAAAGGTCATCCATGACCCCAGGACATTGCAACCATCATAAATAGGAGTCGGACTGAATTTTGATCAAGTGACCATGGGGATGCTGTAATGGTGATAAGTGTGAATAATGGTCCTAAGTCACTTTTTCAGTGCCGTTGTAACTTTAAACAGGCACTAAATGAACTGTTGTAAGTCGAGGATTACCTGTACTGTAATGCTAATTCATAGGTTGGCATTACATTTGAAAAACCCTGCTCCTTTGAGTTTTTAAAAATTATATTAGAAAAATACAATGCTATATCTGGAAGTTGAGTCATGGCAACTGGACTTCTATCTAGTTGTCAAGACACAAATTCCAGACAACTCTACCTGGACGACTTAGAATCTTCATTGAAAAAATGCTATAGTTTTTGTAAATAAATTGAGGTGGTCACAATACTTACAGGGGCTGACATCTCTGTACCTGTTGCGATTTTTGTTTTTCGGATGTTTGGCCACTTTACACGGAAAGTCACTCGCTTCATGTTTGATTTCCTAGAAGGAAATAAAAGAATACATTGGTATATGCTAAGACGTGTGCATATTACTGATTTGAATTCTTGGTTCAGAAAAATCACTGAGAGCTAGTGGCTTATCACCATACATGATTCTGTTTGCTTTTAACAGTTGCTAACTGTTGCTAACAGTTTCCAAATAATCAGTTTTTAAGATTAATAATGGCAAAAATTCAAGGCATGCATTACAGACTAGTGGTATATATCATTACTGAAAATAAATTTGGAAATTAAGAATGTTAAGAGAAAGGTATCATGTTTCATTGAATTTATAGCACAAAATACACTTTTATGGCTGAAAGAAAATGCATCAGAATGTGTGTCGGGGCAGCACAAAGACAGAAATGCAAGTAGAACAGTTGAACAAGGATATCTACAGGAATACATATGTTTCTTGATATCCCTACATGCCACCTTTTTGTATATATGCATATTAACAGCTAAAGGCTACAAATGCCTGGTTAAGATAAGAGCACAAGTTTCCTTGAGTCATCAGCAAGCTATACAGGAGCGAGCTGTAAATGTTAAAAGGATGAGGCATATTATACTTCACAGCAGCAGTACAGTTGCTAAAGCCATCCGATTTGGCACTGATCATTCATTTCTCTGGTAACTCACATAAAATCCAACATTCATTGTAAGTAACATTCTAACAAAAGCTATGTGTGACATCAATCAAACCTGTATACTGTATGTCAGGAACTTAAAACAAAAAACAAAGCATGCATAACTTAACAATTAAAAATAAAGAGAAAAAAGAAGTTACAGGATTTTCACATGTGCCATTTTTCCCCCACTAGAGTTGGAGTGAAGCCATTTTTTAAACTTATACAGTTAACTAAATAATTCCAATTTATACTGCTAAATAAATAAATGTGAGACGGCTTACACTAAGGCCATGAAAGTTCATATTTTTCCATAGCCCTAGGGAGAACTTACAGCCCCTCCAAGATGCTGCTGGGCTACAACAATGTATGGTTTTCTCCATCCTCTTAAGAGTTAAATCATTTTTAGCATTCATTCTCTTTTTAATCTTTGAACTGTGCCTTTAAAATTTATGAGCCATGTTGAGTGCTTATTTGAGCAAAGACAGAATATAAATCAGATCCAGCTCCTACACCAAATGGACACTGCTGGCTATAGCTGAAGTTAGAGAGCTCAAGGTTTCCTTACTTCTATTGTAGTCTCCTTAAATATAAGATACAATATTTAGTGCCAGATCAAAAATCCAGTTGCTTCTCCTTCTCCATATTCCAGTTAAATTACAGTGCTAGATATAACCCTCTCAGATTGAAATTTTCTAACAGTGAACAGTTCATGTTTCTTGCAGGGATTGGGAAAATGCCACTACTGAAGGAAAAACAACAATAGCAGGCCTTGGCCCACAAGAAGTAACCAACAATTAGTGGTAACAGCTTCTCAAGAGGGCAGTTGCCAGGTTATTCTAAAGCTCCAATGCATGAAACTGATTTTCCAGACCAATTTCAATCAGTCTCAGGACTGACTTTAACATAAGAACAGACTGCATCTTTTTTTCTTTGTTAGCTTTAAGCTATTTTTAGCCTTTTGAGACTAGCTTTTTTTTACACTGTACATATAGTCTATTTCTACATTAGAATAATTCTGAATGGTTTGATTTTTTATGCTAAATCACCCTAGGAATGTTATTGTAGAGTAGTACTCTTCTATATACTGTAAACAAATGAACAAATACTAAATATATGGTAACAAACAGGAACATAATATATCTTCAAAAGAATAATATAGGGACATTGCCAAACCTAATCTACTTTTTAAATCCCCCAGCCATTGCAGGACAAGATTTTTCTAATTTCATATCAACTTCTACAGCAAAGCACTTTTCCTTGGTATTGCTTGGGGAAGATAGTTCTTAACTGTTGTCCTTTTAGCTTTACAGAATGTTTCAAACACTCTGGATAAGGGCATTCTATTACATCCTTTATGAAAATTAAAAGAACAAATGTGTTTGCTTTTTCAATTCACCATGTATATTTGAAATATGGCATGAAACAAAGAAGATCTATTTCTGAGTGGCACAAAAATAAACAGAGTTACCTTATTGGTGAGATGGGCTAACTATTCAAAGGTAGAGGTCACAGATGACCAATATTTGCACTTTTGTACAAGTTGTCATTTCCAAACTGTAAGTAGTAAGGAGTTCACAGATTTTACATGTGTGAGAACTGCATTTCAATACAGAGTATAAAGTTAATACATTATGGAGGGATTTCTAATGACCAAGCAGGATAATTCAAATATAATCGGTCATAGTTTTAATCTTATCTAGAACACCTTGGCAGAGATTTATTCTCTATTCCCATTATACTGGCTTCAGTAGTCTAAGAAAAAAAAAAGTGCTGCATTTTCCAGATAGTGTCAGAAGCAGAAGTCTTGCTCTTCTTCTTTTCCTAAGTTACCTCCAGTGTTCAATACTTATGCAGTTTGAGGATGAGTAATAGGATATCAACAGTCTTATGCACTTGAATCATTTAAGAAAAATAGGTTTATTAGCAAGCACAGCATATGAGTGGGTAGGAAAGGCATCAGAGGGTTGACTGATCATTATTTCCCATCTCCTCTGCCTTTCTCGTAAGGCTAAATGGAAAGCTTCCCATTTCCCTCATGAGTAAGGAGTCTACTTATAGCATATATGAAGGGGTTTTAGATTGAGAATGAAGGGAGCAGAAATGAACATGGTAGCACCATCATCCTCTTACCAGGTCTTTCAGATGCATCATAATGGACTACTACATTCTTAGGAGTCTAAAGGTTCATGGCAACTGGACCAAACTTTGTTAATCTGAGATGCTTCGTTGCTCATCCAAGCAACTTCATCAGTCAGAGCAAAATTAATTAGGGAGAGAGTCAGAGTTGGAATGTACAGCAACTTCAGGGGGTTCTTACCAAAATGCATTGCAATATGTCAATAAAGATTCAGTCATCCAGGCTAAAAGTATCTAAAAATTGAATCATGGCAACTGCACCAAAAAGCTCTGAGCGTGCTTTTTTTAAAAAAAATGTTGGATTTTTTAAAGTGGCTAATTTTGTTAATCAATAAGAATGAAATTCAAGTCTCAGCTGTAGAATGAGTGGTTGAATCAGGAAGTAGATCCTTATAGATATGAACTCCAGAGTGCCCTGAATGTTCAGGTTAATTTCCTTGTATTCTTCAACCCAAGAATATTAGAGAAAAATGTGACGACTTATGTCTTGAACCCCAATTTAGCAGTTTTTATCTTTCCCCAAACTTGCTGTACTCCAGAAGTATTGGGATTATATCTCCCAAAATTTTCAGTTACTACAATCATCGCATGTGAGGCGATGGAGATTAAGAAGATACGTGAACTAGGATGGGAAGAACCCCCTTCATCGTTTGCTAGTTCTTTTGCCCTTCTTGCGCGCGTGCAGGGTCCCGTGGCGTGGCTTTCCATCGTTTGCTCATGGATCTCTTTTTTGTAGTCATCGGTGGAGTGTCTCGTCCCTTCCCTCTTGTTAGCGGGGGTCATGGTGCCAACAGGACCCTCCACTATAAAAGCAACCATCCAGTGGCCCACAAGATCAGCTGTGTAAGAACATTATTCAAATGGATAGACTCACATTGCAGTACAACCAAGACCAAAACTGAAGAAAGAAACCACCTCTTTCGAACCTCTAAGTACAATGGTTACCCTACCGAATTTATCAGGAAGTATAGTAGACCACACAGATCCCGTGAAGACTTGCAAAAAGCCGATAGGATGACAATGCATATCCATCAGAGACTAACCTGAAAAGATGCCCGGATCCACTCAATATACCCCCTCCTCCGAGCACACATGCGCACAACCCCATCAAGGAAGATCAGATGGATCCCGGAATAGAACAAAAAAAGGGGATAAGTGTAAGCGAGCGAAAGCAACCGGCGTGTGCTAGCAGAAAGTAAGTGATTGAGCTCAGGAAAAAGAAAATAGTAACCTCAGAAGATACCAGCACAGCAAGATACGCGTGCCCATTAAGAACAAACCAAGTAGAGAAAATGGACGGACCAATGACTAGATCGAGAAGCCGGGTGCAGAGCCGTCCGGCAATATAAAAAGGACTCCCAGTAATCTTGTATTATGCTCTCATGATGTCGGCAGTGTTGGCCGACGAAAGCTTAGCTTTAGCTTTTGTATTAAACAGTTTTTGTTTTAATATTATCCTGGTGCTCGGACTATTTTATTTCTATTATATATATAGACCAGGGTGCATGAACACGCGCTGGCTGTTAAAAGACACGAACAACATTCGCAGGTGTGGACCCACATGACAAATTTTGGCCACACATTTGATCTTGCTAATGCACAGGTTTTGTCTGGAGATACCACCAAAGGAGGCCGCCTACTCAAAGAGGCTTGGCTTTCCGATGAGAACTCTATAAACCGCCATATAGAACTCTGCCCAGCACACCAAATGCTGAGAACGTGGGAAAAACGCCAGGATTCCCAACGAAAGCAACTCCTTCACCCTTTACAGGACCAGAGGGATATAGCGATAGAAAAAACAGGGGACCCCCCTTTGGGAGTCTGTACACGAGCAAGAAGAGCAAGAGAGCCAATTAAGGGTGGAGTAGAATTCAATGCACATCTTGCAGAGAGTTTGGTGATGCAAGCGTGAGGATCACGGACGATGGAAGATCGGAGTGAATGGCGGGAAGGAGGCTCTCAACATGCATCCCCTGAGAGGGACAACGTCCTCCAATAGAAGAGTGGAGGCAGGAACGGGCATGGCAGAGCCCTCCTGGAGAAACATTCAGATCCGTTTGACGGACCATCTCAGAAACACTCATGCACGCGCAGGAGCAGCGGAGCGAAAAAGCAAGAGGACTTTACTGGATACACATCCTGCCAACAGCCCTCCAGGGAAAGAATGGTTGTGCTTTGGGGTAGAAACAAGGAGAGAGAATGAGCGAAAGCGTGTAACACAATGGGGTGGTTGGAA